CTTGTGCCCCAGTGCGCAGTGTCAAGGGGTCTATTACGCCAACGGTTTCAGAGAATATGCGTTGATTAAGACCCTATGGGTGAATGGCTATAACTGTTCGACTAAATATCTTGCCCATGATAATTTCAGACATGGCGTATGTTGCATACTTCGTCAAAAACAGCACCTCAGGCCTGCCCTGTGATGCTTATGACACCCGCGCAATCGCAGTGATGCGCATAATATGCTTTCCTATACGTTAACACACGTGTACTGACCTGTACGGTTGTGCGCCAGGGTGGCGGCGTCTCCAGCTAGACACTAGCGCTCGTGCTGGGCTAAGCCACCGGTGCAGCGTCTCGCGGCGCATCTCCGGCGACCGGCGACGGGCGCCGTGCTTCTGCAGGCCGTCGACCCGTGCAGCTGGGGCCCCAGGCAGTCGTTCAGTAGCGGCCGTGCTTGAGCCGCTGCGTGATCAGAGAGAGGGGAGGGGCTGAGGTGGCTGAGGGTCAGGGAGAGAGACGGGATGGAGAGAGGGAGGGGCTTGCGAGGCCGAGGGTCACAGAGAGACGGGAGAAGAGGGGGGAGGGGCTTGCGAGGCTGAGGGTCAGGGAGAGAGAGGGAGGGAGAGAGAGAGAGAGAGAGAGAGAGAGAGAAGAGAGAGAGAGAGAGAGAGAGCGAGAGAGAGAGAGAGAGAGAGAGAGAGAGAGAGAGAGAGAGAGAGAGAGAGAGAGAGAGAGAGAGAGAGGAGGGAGTCTGACGAGGTCGAGGATCGGGAGAGAAAGGCGGAGGAAGAAAAGACGGGAAGAGTGAGCTGACGAGGTCGATGATTGTGATAGAAAGGCACAGGGAGAGAGGGAAAAGCGGGAAAGAAGAAAGATGAGGAAGGGAGGGGGATGAAGAAAGAGGGGAGATAGAGAGCATGGAAGAAAGGAAGACGGTGAAATAGAGAGGGAGGGGGAAAGTAAAATGGTACAGAGAGACAAGGGACCCGAAGGAAAAGGGTGGTGGGGCGCGGAAACAGGGAACCAGTGTGGCGCGGAGATGCGGTCGGATGCAGTTTTTGAATATTGCTGGTTGAAATTGTTGCACTCAGCGGCCGGCGCCAAAGCTTGCTGCACTCAGCGGCCGGCGCCAAAGCTTGCTGCACTCAACAGCCGGCGCCAAAGCTTGCTGCACTCAATGGCCGGCGCCAAAGCTTGCTGCACTCAGCGACCGGCGCCGAAGTTTGCTGGCGGCACGACTGCTCGGCAGCATATTTTTTTTCGACTAGATTGTTGAGTTCACGCGTCAAATGCATGCTTTCCGCCCTGATTGTAGGGTTCACGTTGGAAAAGCATGTCTCTCGGTGGACTGCAAATGAATTTGATCCTGCTGATTTCGGGGAAAGCTGTTATTATATCTCATCTGATTTTGCTTATTTGATATTACCTTGATAAGGGCCTATACCGTGATCCCTGACCCCCCCTCCCCCACCCCACGCTCCCACACATGTCCCACTTCCCACCACCACCCAACTAATCATGAAATTCCGCGTCAACGACAGAATTCGCGGCGAAAGCTTAACGTGCTGCAGAACGCGGCGCGGTCCACCTGTCATCTGGCGTCACTTTGCATTTGGCATGACCGCTGCCAGCGTTCACAGGCCGCCCAGTGGTGCATAAATAACGGGGTGTGAAGGGATTCGAACCCACGCCGTCACGGATGGATGGAACTAAGGGCATGCTATTGACCCACTAAAAGAGACAACAGTGATGGGTACCCAAAATGGGTAGACAAAAGGGAAATAATATATGGGCGCACAAAACCTTATGGATATTATCAGGGAAGCCAAGTGCCAAAGTTGCTTCAAACACTGTTCGAGGAGCGATTCGTGCCATCGATGGAAATAGTGTGAACCAGTTCGAAGCGTGGCGCCATCTGAAATTAAAAGGGGAGTAACGAAGAATATCTAGTGGCGTGCTCGAGTTGCATGAAAGTCAACGTCCACGCACGTGGTCAAACATGTTATTTAAACGGAGCGCCCCACATTTGAATGTGTTGAGGCAAGCAAGCACGTTGCACGATATGAGCTTACGACTAGTAAAAACAATGTCAAAAACACTCTCTGTGCAAAACACTGTCACTCGGTGCAAAAAAAAACACTGTCAAGTCGTTCATAGCTGACGTTCATTGGCACGATTTCCAGATAAAGCACCCGTTAATTGTCCCAATCAGTGTTGTGCCAGGTACGATGATGTAATTAAGTAATGACGCTTTGGAGAACCCTGTTTAGTTGTGTTGTCTAGAGCAACTTTTCCCACTTAAAAGCATACCAATAGTAACAAGAGGCCTTATTTCATTACATCTGATACCTGCTTCAACATGTTCACATCTAGGAAATTCCCATTAGCAGATCATGTTCGCCTGATCTTCCACACCCTGCGATAATGCTGCTCTTTGGCAAATGCAGCCCCGTATATGACCGCCTTTCATGAATCGCATGCGCCGGGCGATAGGGAGAACGCCATATTGTCTGAAGTTCTCGCCAGAATGGCGAGAACTTCAGACAATAATGGGGCCTCCACCAGCCTGAATGGGCCCCTCTTCAGGTCAGAATGAGCCATGTACAGGCCAGAATGGCTCTCGGCAGTCAATAACGGATGTTCTACAGGTCATAAGAAGTTCTCTACAGGTAATAATGTGTCCTCTGCAAGCCAGAACGGGTTCTCTAGGGACCAAGACAGGTCATCTAAAGGTGAGAATGGGCCCTCCAGTCAATAAAAGACCGCCCTTAGATCAGATTGGGTCCCTACAGGCTCAGAAATACCCTCTTTTGGTCCAAATGAATCCTAAATAGGCCAGAATTAGTCCTCGACAGATTAGAATGAGCTTTGACGGGTAGGAACTGATGCCTAAGGAAATAGAAGTATATGCATACTCAAAAATCTAAAAAGGTATTACGGATGGCTTAAAAATCAAAATATATCGCATTAAATTGCATTTGTGAAAAATACGCAGGCCCTACAAGCCTGAACAAGGCGGGACCGGATGATTCTAGATGGAACCGGATAGAACCACACAAGGTCAGACCAGAACCAGAGTCAAAACCAGTACCAGACCATGATCAGAAGCCAGATGAGACCATACAGAATCAGATAATACCAGACAAGCTCATTCTTGTCCAGAACGGTCCCGTTTTGGTTCCGTCCGGCACCGTCCTGTCCCTTCCCGTCTCTCGTGGTCGCACCTCTTGCCGTGCGATCCCGCCCCATCGCGTCAAGTCCTGTCTGGTCCCGTCGAGATCCCTCTAGTCCCTCCCAGTTTCAGGCCTCGTCTGGTGCCATCCAGTCACATAAACTTCTGTCCAGTTCCATCTAATGCCCTCCAATCTAGTCTAGTCCCATCAGACTCCATCCGGCCCCGTCTGGCTTCATCGCATTCCACCCTGTTCTGTGTCACCTCGCTCTGCGGCGTCCGGTCCCATCTGGTCACGTGTGGCGTCGCTCAATACTACCTGCTCCCGTCCGGTCGCGTGTCGTCCCGTCCGGTCCCATCTGGTCACGTCCGGTCCCGTCTGGTCACGTGTGGCGTCGTTCAATACTACCTGCTCCCGTCCGGCCGCGTATCGTCCCGTCCGGTCCCATCCGGTCACGTCCGGTCCCGTCTGGTCCGGTGCTGTCCGGTCAGGTCCTTCCGGATCCATCCAGGCTCGTTTGGTCTGGTCCTGCCCGGTCGCACCTAATTTGGTCTATTCCCTCCCGGTTCCATCTCCATCATGACGTGGCATCTGGTTCTTTCTGGTCCGGTCTCGGGTCTGTCTATTCGATTTCGTTCGATCACTTAATGCTGGCCGATCTTGTCTGGTCCCATCCGGCGTGGTCCAGTCTCGTTTGGTCCAGTCCTGCTCGTTCCCCTCCGGCCTGGTTTAGTACCTTTTAGTCTTGTCCCGTTCGTTTCCGTTTGGCCTTATCAAGTTCTCTCTCGTTCCTCCAGGCCCCGTTCCGTCTCGTGCGGTTCCTTGAAGTCATGTGTAGTGCCCTCGGATCCCATTTGACCCCGTTTGGTTATGCGACCCTATGACGCGGTCCCGTCTGGCCATCTCTGAATCCGCACGGTCTCGTCTTGCTCACCCGGCCTCATTCTGTCTCAGTCTCGTCCGATTTAGCTGAGTCCCGTCCTGCCCTGTCTATATGCTGGCCTATTCCTAATCAGTCACGCTCGCTGCCATCCGGCCTTAGTATTTCATGTTCATCTCAGGTCTCATGCAAAGTGAGGCATGGATCTATTCCTACAGCACACAACTTTCACTCACAATTTGCCGTCCTCCTGCTAGCGACCGCCGCACGACGGAATGCAGGCACTCGGACGTCGGCGAGGCCCTAGAACAGGGGACGTCAGCATTGACTTTCCGGGCTTGGATTCGCAAAGTTCCGCTAAGGCCGCGTTTCCCATCACCAACAGCTGTCCACAAATTGCAACCTATGACGTCAGAGATAAGTGTGTCATGACAGCTCCTACAGCTTGGAGAATGGCTGCATATGTATGACGTAAGTACTCGCAATGCACTAGGTAGCAACTCAAGTAGACACTTTGCCAATAAGGAAAGCGAGATGGCTCTGGCCAGGATGGCAGTGACTGTTCTTGCTTTGTGACATCATCGTACAATCAGCTGGTTGGGCTACCATTCTCATCAGCTGACAGCGTTCGCACCTTGGTTTTATTCACCGCTTTGATGGAAACAGGTGTGAGGGAAACGCCATTTATTCGCATTATATGGAATATAGGGGTATACAAAGCCTTTGGAGGAGTTCTTAAATGTTGGGCGCTTGTACCTGTATCATTATGTATGGTGTACGCCCTAGTCAGCTGATACGGACCATTTTATTGAGCGCGAGGCCCACGCCTGCGATACCAAAACAAGGCCTTCCATCTAAGCTTTACCTGTCGTAATGTTGTAGGGCCTTGCTCGTAACCATTTACCATTTGAGAGGTTTGACCCCAACAGTTTGGTAACTCATTATACATGGCCTTGTATCACCCCTCTGATGTTATTTAAGTTTAGTGTTATAGGAGAATATCTGGTGTAACATTGAAAGTTTGTTGCAGCAGTTAAGAAAAATGATGTGTGCCATGTGGCAGCCAGATTGTTCATGTATCAATAGCTTTTTGTGTGCTAGTGAGACTTAGCTTTCCATTTATGCATAGATCCCAATGTTTTCCTTTGAATTGAAATGCTTGCAAGCTGGGCGCATCAGCATGTTTGTTTATGGACAGTTTTGAGCTGCCCCAATTGGCAATAAATGAGACTTACAGGAGCTGTGATTAAGCCAGCATTGAATGTTTATGTACAAACAAGCACAGTCATGTACCTGAAATAATGACATGTTTTATGAAGTGTACATGTGGCTTACCTTCAAACAACAATCCATTTTCAGTTAATGTCATTTGTGGTGAGGTAGTATTTTTCCCTGGTCATCTCTAATATTTCTCCTTCAGGTATTTTTCTGTTATACATAATTTTTTCATGCTATGGCATGCTACTTTCTCTCTACAGTTGTGCACTAAATGGTGTTATGGTATGGTAGTTCCTTGTACTTGTTAGCCTGCTCCACCCTCATGTAACAACTCAAGGAAATAGAAATTGCTTGGCCTTGTGAACTATAAATATTATAGCTTCTGATCATTTTTGAATTGTGTGTTGGCAATATGAAACTTATGAATGACAGATTTGAACATTTTGCCACTTATCAGTGCTAATGTCTTTACAGGTAGGTGCTCCCAGTAGCTCATGTTGATGTCATCAGGTGGCAGCAGACTTAATGCCATGTTTGTGACTTTCATAGATGTTGTATGGATTTTTATGCCTTTCCTGTTTCATTATCTGATTGCTGATGGATCCAGCCAGTGTTACATTCCAGGAAGGTTTGAAACCATGTCTTGTCTACAGATAGACTATGGGTCATGGTGCCAGCAAGCAACAAGAAGACTTCCTCACAGAAGATGAAATTGAAGACTACCAGGATCTCACATACTTCACCAGACATGAAATAATTGTGTAAGATATAGTGCTTAGGGAATCAACATAGTGCCAGGCATATTGTATACTGATAATGTATTTACTTCTACCCTTTTCTCTGCTGATTTATAAAAGAGAAATAATTATTTAAAGTAAAATCATGTGGCAGCTTCCCAGTGAAACATGTCAAAGTTAGTTACCTTTGATAGAGATGGGTGTGGTAATGCATTTTGTATTGATAAAAGCTTGGGTTCTGCCAGGCAGAAATGAAACAGTTGGCAGGGACAGTTTCAAGTCCACTGCCATCACAAAACTTCATGTCCATCCTGACAGCTCAGCTGGTTAGAATGCCTGTCTTCCAATCTCCACCCACCTCTGGTGACGTGAGCTCCAGTCAGTTTAGATGCTTGCTATGTGTCCTTGACAGGTATGGCTGCTGATTGGTGGCAGGGACCACTCGAAAAGTTAGAAGATGTCAGAGGGTAGGACAGACCTTACCAAGCATTGCAGCACACTAAGATTTCACCACCAAATTCAGCCATTGACCTGGAACTGCATGATCAACTTGTAGGGTCAGGGCTCACAAATCTTTTTAAAGCATCATTAGTCTTCACCTTCTCCTCAGGGCTCACAAGAAATTCAAGGCGCTGGCGCCGGATATCATCGCGGAGAACAGGAACGCCCGGCTGGAGATGACTGTCATGCTCAACTACCCGGAGCTGCGTGCCAACCCCTTCGGTGACCGCATTTGCAAGGTGCAGCAGTTTGTCGGTTGTGGGCTGCATCCACATGTGAAGGTCTTGCGGCCTCAGTCGATACTCGACAGCGAGGGCACCTGCCATGCCATCCAGGCATGGGCTATGCAGACTTATTTGAAGTTGGGCAAGCCACGGTGGTGCACCCATTGGCGCCGCCGCTGTGATCGGAATTTTCAAGGAGAACTGCCGGTGTGAGCTGTGCTAGCAGCTTGCTGTGCCATTTTGATTGTTTTTGTTTGTTTTGTTGCCTTTGCAGGCTTGATCATCTTTTGATCATGTGCTGAGAGAGTTGGATTTGTATTTCCCATGTAACTTGCACACGTTTGAATCCGGATGGCCAGGTCAGGGATTAGAAGCAACCTTTGGTTTCCATTGTATTCAAGTTTTTTCTTTTTTTAGCTGGAGGAACGTAACCTGTCGAGAAGCTGGTTGGAAGCTATTGCTCTTTGTGACTGTTGCTCGCACTTACAGGGTTGTATGTGTTGAGCCAATGGTACATAATGGTGGGGGCTATATGACAAGGTGTTAAAGGTTATGATCTAACCAATGCTCTGTCCGTGTCGGTTCTCGCTACCAGGTACCACTGAAGAGCGGGGGAACGCAGAGATCTGAACCGTGCAGTGTGTCACTGATAGTTTTGTAGTTGACCAAGACGCGCGTTGAACTGGGCAGGTGTTCAGCTCTACCCAGGACGGCGCCTGCTCCTTCGAGGACTTCCTGGACATGATGTCTGTGCTGAGCGTCCACGCGCCGAAGACGGTCAAGTCCGAATACGCCTTCCGCATCTTCGACTTCGACGACGACGACATGATCGGCCGCGAGGACCTGCGCGAGCTCATCAACCGGCTGACGGCGCCGCAGCGCATGACCGAGATGGAGATGATGGTGGGGCTCATGATGGAGTGTGCTGGGTCAGGAGTATGGTGGCATGGCCAGGGCTGTGGTGGCAGGGTATGGATGTAGTAGTGCTGGGTGTCAGTGAGTTTGTGGTGTGGTTGTCAGTGAGTTTGTGGTTGAAGTTGTTGTGGTTGAGCCCTGTCCTTGTGATGCAAGCATAGTGCATGGATGGCTGTGATCTATGGGATAGGGAAGGGGGGGGGGGAGGGGGAGACGTGTTGGTGAGAAGGACGTGCTGACATGAATGCTGCGTAATTTGCTTGCCTTACCCTTGTGTTAGTCTTAGTGTTGTCTAAGTACTTTGTGTCTGCTTAGAAGCTTCAACTGATCAAATTTGGCCTCTTGGCCTTCAGTCTACCCTGATTTATGTTCCGCGGCCAGTGTGCAACCTTTTTAATCATTATCCGCGTATGGTACAGTTTTGGGAGTCTCCTGCTTCGTTGAGTTCCGTATTGCTTGAATTTTGACTTCCATTTTGCTCATTGTCATGTTCCCAGCAATGCAAAGCTGTAATGTAAAGTACACGTGTTACCCTGGTTGATGTGGTTACCCGTGAGCAGCTTCGTTACCAGTTATAAAGATCTCGCCTTGGTCAAACTGGCGCCGCTGCCGGCGTTGCGTTGCTTGTCGTCCTCTAGCTTTGTACGCCGGTATGTCCGCTTCACTGGGGCCTGGTCGACAGCACCTGATCCAGAACATCAACAACGAGTCTGACCTGGACGACGACGGCATGCTGTCGTTCGCTGAGTTTGAGCACATCATCTCTAAGTGTCCCGACTTCACTGAGTGAGTGGCTCACGCCTGCACGTACAGTTCCGGTGTGCTAGTCGCGGGTGTTCCACGCTTTGTCCGTGTCTGCTTGTTTCGCGCCTTCCTTTTTTTTCCTGTTTCCCTTTTATCCTTTTTCGGCGTGCGTCGTACTTGTCATACGCGCGTCATAAGTTTCGTCACCCACGCTCATACTTGTAGGTCGTGGCCGCCGTAAATCCCTTACATCCGCTGATGGGGCAGTAAGAAGCTGTGTTCACGTTCGATTGGCTGGTTATTGCTGACGGCACCAGCGCCGACTGGACGCGAATGCGCCTGGTTCCGACACCTTCAGACTGTCTGGGGCTCCGCGATGTCCAGCCGGCCGTGTGTCGACGGCTGCGTGAGCGCGTGCCTCCGGTTGCAGCTCGTTCAGCGTCAAGCTGTGACGACACGGGCGGCTCGGACCGCGCGACGGCGCTTGCCCCGGGACACAGGCCGCCAGGAGCGCCCGCCACGCAGCTCACGGCGACCCGCCAGCGTGGCCGCCGCCGCCGCGTGCGCTCCGGCCACGTGGCTCTGTTTGAGCTGCTGCCTCATGGAGTTGGTGTGGTCGGCGTTTACCGTGCAGACCCGGTCACAGTGTTGATCTCCGCACGAGCGGTGGGAGGCTGGAGATGGTCGCCCGCCGCTCTGCTTCACGGCTTGCAACCGAACGCACTTGTGGATCACGACGGAGCTGATCGGGGATACGGAAACGACACGTCGGGTCCCAAAACAGACGAGGCGGAGGGGTGAGGGGCTGATGCGCGTGTCAGCTATAGTCGCTTTGACACAACTTCGGTCGTGACTGGCAGAGCACAGTTTGCACAGCTGTGCCGGCCACTAGTCCGTCTCGTTGGTTGGTCTTGTGAACGCAGCACAACTCTCATGTTAACCATAAGGCGTACGGTGTTTTCGTCTTTCTGAGATATGCAAACTCTGTGAAAGCTAGTCATCGGATGTCCAGGAAGTGGTGGCCGCTCGCTTTCTTTTCGCTGCAGGGTCACGTACTGGTGATGACCGCTGTTTTCGAGCCGGGGCAGACCGTCGGCCGGTGGACATGATATCACGCACATGTAATGTCTAAGCCTGAGTTTCATGTGCTTGTCGATTCCCCTCCGCTCCGACTTCTCAGTGTGCCATTCGTGTATCGGTCGGACCAAGTACCGGTTTGGCCAGGGAAATGCTGCCGCTGGTCGTGACTCACGCCGACAAACGTCCATTGCTTAGTCGCAGTGGCTGGTTAAGACGGTCTCACAATAATACCCGTAGATTACCGCATTTATTTACTGATAGATCTGAGTTATGTTCCTCTTTGTGGTACCCCAGAGACATTTGTCTATAGTATGGCATAAGTGTTGCGATGGCGTCCATGCTGTCTGTGGCGTATAGTATAGTTAATTGATGGGACGGAAGGTGGCGGCAGCATATTGTTCTATTTGTCCCGCCGCGTTGACAAAGCCGAGTGTGAAACAGCCTATGGAGACCAGAGCCTAGGCTAGAATTATCAACTATTAGGTTCATAATGGGTGGACGCAGTGCTGCCCCGGGTGCCAAAGAGACGGGCGATTGGGGCGGTGCAGACTGGTGTCGGGTTGTGACGATATTCAGTACGGGCACAAATCAGTACCTAACAAGGTGAGGATTATCCAGCAACGCTCAAGAACGGACACGTGCTTTCTGTTTTCTACTACTGGGCCGGAGCTCAGAACAAGTCCGTAAGTCAGGTGCGGTGCGGTTGTACCTCGTCTTCCGTGTTACTGTTCTGTTCAGTTATCCACTGCGTGTGCTCGCCAACCGTTGGCAGGCTCTCTGCTGGGTGGCGTCGGCTAACCGAGGCCCGTTGTCACTCGCACGGTGTTTTATCAAACGTGTGTTGTTTTGCACATGCTATATAAAGGGCATGAAGCTGATGGGCGTTTTTTTGAAGTGGCGACCTACCTTTGACGCTACTTAAATGGGTGCAAAATGGCATTGACCGTCGGCAGGAAACCCCAGTCATCATCATTACTGCTTGAGAGGATGCCTCTGCGTCGGAAGTATTGATGGCGCTCGGCTTGGGTTCGCGATACTTGTATTCCAATGAAGCCTATAATGCACCATTCTTTGAAAAAAAACTTTTACGCAAACGAATGCGTGTCTGGCAGGGTATCGTTTATTTGAAAGAGTACATTCCATTAACGAGTTACGGTCGCTGTGAACGATTAGATGTTCTCGCCCTCCCAGCATAAGCTTCACTGCGAGTCGGGAGTGAAGAGCGTCCCCGTCCCCCCCCCCTCCCCCTCTCCCTAGCGCGGACCGCCCAGCGCGTCACGACCGTCGCGCACCACGTTTGTCCGCTCTGGGCTGGCGCCGTGTTCGCTCTGCTGGATAGTCTGCTGCCTCCCCCCCCCCCCCCCTTCACGGGGCGGCTGCTCTGATGGCGACAGCGGTCCGCTCTCAGCTAGCGGGCCCGTCCACTGCACCGCCGTCTTCGCTCTGCTGGATAGTCTGCTGCTCCCCCCCCCCTTCACGGGGCGGCTGCTCTGATGGCGACAGCGGTCCGCTCTCAGCTAGCGGGCCCGTCGACTGCACCGCCGACTGCTCTGCGTCCGTGCCACATGCTCTACGCTCTGCCGCCGCTCTGTGGAGGAGCCCCGGCCGTGCATCCGTTCCGTGGAGGAGCTCCGCCCGTACAGCCGTTCTGTGGAGAAGCCCCGTCTGTGCAGCCGTTCCGTAGAGGAGCACTGGCCGCGCAGCTGTTCCATGGAGGAGCCCCGGCCGTGCAGTCGTTCCGTGGAGGAGCCCTGTCCGTGCAGCCGTTCCGTAGAGGAACGGCTGGAGCGGTAAATGGAGCGCCGCAGTGCTACATGTCCACTCCTGACAACTGAAACTGGTCAGCACGAGCCGCGCAGCTGTTCCGTGGAGGAGCCCCGTCCGTGCAGCGGTTCCGTGGGGGAGCCCCGGCCATGCAGCCGTTCCGTGGAGGAGCCCCGGCCGTGCAGCCCTTCCGTGGAGGAGGCCCGGCCGCGCAGCTGTTCCGTGGAGTGTCCGCTCGCTGTCTGGGCTTCACGCCGCGCTGCAACTGTACTCTCTGGAAACGGGAAACACGCCGGTAGAAAAAGGCCCGTGGCGTGACGGCGTCGACGCCATGCTCACGGCTAACGTGTGAAAGGCCGTGCGGCGCCGGAAACAACAGTGAATGGAGCACCGCAGTGCTACATGTCCACTCCTGACAACTAAAACTGGTCAGCACGAGCTCCCTGTGGCACAGCCAGCGCATGCGACATGTTACAAAAACGGCGCGCTAGCCGCCGATGCTTGAGGTGATGCGTTTCGGAAGTGTACACGCAAATGCCTGCTTTCGCAATAATGCTACTGACTGTTGTGTTGTGTAAGGGAATCGCTGACACGCGTTGGGATATCGTGACGAACCATTACGTTAGTTCCACCAGATGAGCGGCTGAAGTGGGTGAAGGCGATGCGTGATGCTCCAGCTTCACGGTTATCCAGTGAATGTTGATTTGATGCTCGCACGCTAAAGTCAACAGAAAGTTGAAAGTGTTTCTGATCGAGACTATTTTGCATGCCGCCTGTCCCACGAGTATGCTTGCCAACTGTGCGATGCTTACAACACATCCACTGTAGTTCGAAAGGCGTGCCTTATGCCCGAACAGCTGGATCAACGCCGCTAGAGATCGTTCTTCCGCAAGTGGCTCCAAATCTCGCCCTCTGGAGCCTGAGCCGAGATGGGCGGGCGCTCACCTGCCTGACTAGATGGCTGCGTGTGGGTGTCCTAGCAGTGGAGCCTCTAGCGCCGTTTGCTGTAGCCCTCCAGCGGCTTGAACTTTGTGTAGCTGTAGAGCCTTTTGTCACCGTAGCCGTAAAGCAGGTGCCCGTTGCCGTGCTGGTCGTAGAACGGGTACCGGTACTTCGGCCTGGAGGCAGCGCCGTGTGGTGTAAGGTCGGGAGGTTATGGACAGCGGGCATCTCAGTGTCAGCGTGTAAGGTCGGGAGGTTATGGACAGCGGGCATCCCAGGGTCAGTGTGTAAGGTCGGGAGGTTATGGACAGCGGGCATCTCGGGGTCAGCGTGTAAGGTCGGGAGGTTATGGACAGCGGGCATCTCAGGGTCAGTGTGTAAGGTCGGGAGGTTATGGACAGCGGGCATCTCAGGGTCAGCGTGTAAGGTCGGGAGGTTATGGACAGCGGGCATCTCAGAGTCAGCGTGTAAGGTCGGGAGGTTACGGACAGCGGGCATCTCGGGGTCAGCGTGTAAGGTCGGGAGGTTATGGACAGCGGGCATCTCAGAGTCAACGTTTCATGACTTCATATATTTGTCGAGGGCGCTTCATACCCATCACCCTGTCATCCATTCCAGAGATGGTAATTTTCGGAAACTGCCTTTTAAATATTACAACATTTTATGTGAATTAACGTTTTGCATACGTAACATCCGTTTCAATCGCTCGCTTAAAGGACGCACCACTTAGACGTAGCATGATACGTTAAGTATAAATGCAACACGAATGCATATATCATGTAAGAGCCGAAGTCTACCTGATAGGAAGACCGCCTAACGTTCCAAATAATTGGTATTGCGAATTAAAGGTGAATAGTTTTGGAACACCATCGCTTGCGTTGATGATCATATGGTAAGCATGATCATGGGAATTAACGTTTTTTATTTCCATTATTTGATTTATTTTGGCAGCCGTATCAGGATAGTTGACTTACACGGAATATTTCGTCACTTTGTCATGCGATACCTGCTTATGATCAACGATTAAGCCATTTGCACGCCACTGACATCTTTATGACAGTTTTATACAGGATGTCTGTCATTTTTAATCAAAAAATGAGTCAGTTTCGTAATGGCTTATTCGCGCTACTAGTTACATAACCGGTGTTTCTGACCGCATTCAATAGAAAGCACCTTGTGTAATATCCTTTACTCAGTCCAAATGGTAGTATTATTTATTGCATGCATTTGACACACCCAGAGGCGCATGGGTGTCTTATTTTTACGAACGACAAATTGTTGTGGGGATGTCGACATCCGGCTACATTGCAACGGTCGCTGCTTACGTTGGCGGCAAGTGCTGGAGTAAGCGGGAACAAATGAAACAATTTAAGTTAAAAGCTTAGCACATAATAGAAGCACTTCTGCCCCAATATCATTAAATCGTATTTTTCCCTTTTTTGGTTTGGAACTGAAAAAGGCCATCTGGAGATCATTGGGTGCAGTTCACAGCCCTGCCTTTCTTAAAACCTAAACCGTTCTAGTTCCTGAGCTACCCGCCTGCGAAAATGTGCATGCAAACTGTTTCATGCAAAGTATTTAAAGGTTGCCCAGGCATCCATGACGCCATAAAAACGCCATTGAAATCCTGCCATTTCATTGGCCATGCGGCGATCAAGGCCAATAACAATAGAATTGTCGAGCCGTTCATGCCCGGCGTTCGTGAGCACGATTTCCAGATATAACGGCCGTCAATTGGCTCTTGAGTGCTGTGCAAGGTACGATGACACAATCAAACAATGGCGTGTTAGGGAGCATATTTACTAAATAAAGAAATTGTGTCGTTTAGAGCAGTCTTCTCCATTTAAAACTATATCAATGGTTATAAGTGATCTTATTTCATCATATCTGATACTTGCTTCAGCGTCTTCAAATGTGGAGCATTCCCTTTGAAACAATATTACAGCTAATTCTAATTGATCACACGCCCGGCAGATTTAGCCGCAGGCTTCCTGTCACAGATGCAAATTCGATGTGTGATACCCAGTCAAACATGGCATCAACGCAATGACCTGATGACGAAATGAAGCATGACAAAATGGAATGGGATGACTCCCAAATTTGCACCCAAGACCCGCAAAACCCGCAGTCTGTGGCTCCCTGCTCCTGTGTAGACCACTCTGGTTTGTTCGGCACCTGTGCGGGTTAGTCCCCTCCCCCACAACAGTGCACAAAGTCACTCGCGGCCACGTGTCCGACCGGCCATTCGTACCTCTGATAGTATGGGTAGGGCACCTGCGGGATAGCCAGGAAACGCTCCCGGGAGTGCGAGCCCTTGCCGACGCGGCTGATGGCTCGCATAGCCCGCGGCATGACCGAGCGGAACCGCTTCCTTCGGGCGGCGCCCACCGTCGCCGTCACCGCCAGCACTACCAGCACCAGTACCACCAGCAGCCGAACCACCTGCGGTCAGACGAGGTTACACGGGTCACAACCGGGACCGACAGAGGGGCCACACGGGTCACGGTCGCGACCTGTCGGTGGACGGAGTCAGGCGGGACCGGGGACACACGGACAAAACACCTGAGCACGTGTGGTCAGGAAGCAGGTCGGCCACGGCCCGGGGGCTCACCAGACTCGGAATATCATGGTTTGCAGCTTGGGGGTATGCCATTAGATGGCCTCTGCTTGGATGCAGGGGATCTCGCAGATTACGGACGGAGGAATGCATGGGCAAGGGGTGGTGGCCTGAGACCATAGGGCCAAAGCCCGAAGAGTTCCGGCCAGTATTCACAGCGTGCAATACCGTCAGCGGTGGGTGGAGCATAGCGATAAGCCCAGAACAGGTCACTAGTACACTGCACTTGGGCACTTGTTGCTAGCCGTCAGAGCGGTTTGCACACCCTGTGTCGATTGCAGAACATGGTATTTGAACACGTTAGTTGCGCTAGTGCTCCCACCCAGATGACTTTCGGTTTGCAAGCTCTCCAATGCTAGTGTAAAGGTGAAAAGGCAAATATGCAGGTTTTTGCGCAGAGTTTTAGAACTCAGCATGCTGTTTTTGCTGTTTTTTGTAGTAGGCCATGAAATAACCTAGCAGCAGCTTGGACTCGCAGTGATCGTTTACGAATACCCTGCTTCTGCGATACAGGATTATGATAAGCCGCTCGTAGTCCTGCGTCAGCGGGATGCAGCGGTCCACAGGATGTGGCGGATGTGGCGGACAGTCTCCACAGTTTCATGTGCTACACATCACAGATGAAAGGACACAGACCCGGAGTCGCGGACCGCTCGAGCCCGCGCTGCACAGCCCCTCTATCATTTATTTTGCACCCTCATGACGGCAGCATCCCACATGCTAACACTATTTTCAATTTGCTTGGATGACGCATGTGATTTGGCTTGCACCCACCTGTTTCAACAGTCATCAATGTAATGTATACGCTCATCAATGTATACGCTCACAACCGCAAGGAGCCTCACTTGCTGAGCAGTCGTCACGTGTCCCAGTGTGGGGCTGGGCGGGCTTGGCCTGCCGCCACAGCACCGAGCCGCCGCCGCTCACACGCCGTCGGCGCTCGTCGGCGACCGCTCGCGCCGCTCGCGCCGGATCAGCCCACACGTTCACGGTCAGCGCGGCTTTCACGCGCCGCCCGCCGCGTCCGCGCCGGCAGGTGTACAGCCCCGGCGCGCCGCCTCCGTCGCCAGGCGCCGGTATGGTCCCGGCCCGCGGCGTGGGGCGCCGATCTGCCAGGCGGCGGGAGGGCTTTACGCGCCATTGACCCATTGCCTTCTCGCCTGGTGGCGGCAACCCGGAGGGCGGATATCGCGGCTGGCGGGCAGCTGCTCGCCTTTCACTGGAGCCGCGGCCGCCGGCGGCAAATAATTCGTCCTCTGACCGGCCCAGAGGACCGCGCGGAACGCCACTCTTGGGACGCATTGTCAGCGTCAGTGGTGATGTTATTAATCAAAAGGACATCGTTCAGCCTTCAGCAAGTGGGGAATGACTGGTGAACATACAGAATGTTAATTATTTTTACACATTTAAAAAAGACGTTTTGTTTGCCGTTCACATAAGTTCATGTCCACCCTAATTTGTGCCGCGCCAGTCCAGCGCACAGCACAGCTGACCGATCACAGACCGCGCAGACTGCGGACCCACAGAGGCGAGCCGCCGCTGATTCCCACGCGTGAATGGGCGCCGTTTGCGGCGACCGCCTCCGCCACGCGCCGTCAGCCAGCAGGCAGCCGGCAACGGTGGCCAGCTCTGTCGACGACGGCCAGCGGCGGCCAGCGCTTTTTCCCGACCTTCATCACTTTCCTCTGCTTTCCGCTTGATTTTTTCACATTCGTCTTTTTCTTCTTTGACGTCCTGGCTTTTCACTTTTTACCCAGGTACCGCCAGGTGGATGGCGGCTCGTTGGTGTAGGCAACGACTCGCACTTGATTTCCTGTGGTTTGATAGTACGTATACGCGATGCGGTACGCATGATAGTAGACCTAGGTTATGAACAGATTGTTTCACCTTTCACGCGGTGCTCACATATCCCAATATTATTCCTGCCTATCGATCATGGGCATCAAAGAACATCTAGCACTTCATGGAATGGCTCTCCCACACTGACAGGGACTTTTTCGTGCGGAAAATGTAAGGACTTTCGCTATTGCGTAAGCTGCGTAGGAAGATTAGGCGTACGTGCGTTCCCGCTTCCGTAACGCGGGTGGCAAATGTACGGATCCTTCCAAACGTCATGATCTCTTTTCCAGCCGGCGTATTGTCAGACATGGCCGCACATGCGCCGAAGAAAGGAGCGCGGCAATCTTGCGGACACTTTCATCGCCTTATACCTGTTCCTGTTCTTCGTCCTTGAGCTGCGAGGCGCCTGGAGGCGGGCGCTATCTCCCGAAGCGGCGCGGCGCGGCGCGGCGCCCGGAGCGAACACTTCGGGCCGGCGGTGTGGCAATGGCTGCCGCATGCGGGCGCGTGCTGAATGGATCGCCTGTCTGGGCGCCTGTTGCGAGGCGTCGGACAGCCGTGTGCCTGGGATGTGGCGTCAAAGTCATGGCAGGGGGCGAGGCTGCGAGCTGGAGTAATGCTGACGTGCCCTTTTCGTCAGAGAGTAATGGCTGTTTTTAGCGGACACAGAGGGCCGAGGCTTGCGGTAGAATTTCGGGACGTGCAGTGCAGTTCGGCTGCTTATTGCTTAGTGCGGTTAATCTAAGCGTTTTTAATTATTTTTTTAGACGGTTGGTTGGCTCTTTTGCACCTGATGTTGATTGGTAAAAGACCTGGGCACATATATAAACATAATTACTGCAATCATTGGAATCTGGTTCGACTATCACAAACGATCACGTAATGTCTATTTCATTTGACCATTTGAGGAAACTTGAAACAAGTCAAAGTTTCCTCCGGCGAAACCATAGACAGAGAGCACGACGCCATTGCGTAACGGTAAAGACATCGACCCACCCTGCTGCCATTGGGTGACTGAACAGGTCCAAAGTAACGCATGACTTAAGTTGTTGTTTTTCAAGTCAGGCATTCCTTCTCTAATGAGGATGGCTTCAAGAACTTGTAGACGGCGTTTGTTCGGACATGATTGTAGAATCCGTGTGTTTTCAGTCAGGCCAGAGCGTAGGAGTTTTTGGTCGTGGGTTTTGCACATATTTTGGTCTGGCACTCCCTCCTGGAGGCTCACAGTCATGCGTCATGTTAGGGATGCTGCGGTCATACAAAACAAGTTGCGGAGCCGGCAATCTCCGTAAGGACATCTTTAGCTGGTTTTTGGTCCGCTATCAGGCTGTTTTTCATTATATGGCTACTGGTTGTTCTGCTCTGGTAATAGATGGTAAACCTTATTTCAGTGTTTTCGTCGGTATTTGGGATATTTGTCTTGATTCTGTTTCGCAAAAGCTTTCCATCCGCTTTATAAGACGGGGACGTTTGATTTCGATGAAAAGTTCATGGGCCGGTTTCGTGTCGACTGGTTTCTGGTTTCGTCGATTCAAGGTGGACTTAATCTTTTCGCCAATGGCCCTGTTCCAATAGCCATTCTTAACAAGTAATTCCTTGCAACGTTCAGGTTTGTGATGTGTGGTGGACCAGCCGCAGCAATATTTTAGGGCGCGTCGTACAAACGAGCGAATGCCGGCCGTGCGGTAACGCTCTGAGCGTTCGCTAGCTGCGTTCGTACATTTGTCCGCATCAGTAGGTTCACGGGCAATTTTGTGACGAAAGACCCGTTGCTCGCCGGAACGTCGTTGCTGTGGATGTCAAGAAAAACTAAATCGCTGTCGACATTCAGGTCAGTCGTAAATCGTAATGACGATTGCTGCTGTATGCTGGCCTGCAGTTGGCGGAGATGGCCTCGTCTCTGACACCAACAGATATGTCATCGACATATATGAAGTAAATGTGCGGTTTAAGGTAAAGGTTCCTGGGGACACGAATCTCCAGTCAACAGATGTACATATTTTCAAAGAGGCATCCGAGCATATATGAATATATATATATATATATATATATATATATATATATATATATATATGCATAAATTTCCATACAGAGTGAGAGAGAGAGAGAGATATGCATATATATATATATATATATATAATATCATTATTATGTGCGCGTAAAAAAGTGATCTTAGCTATGGCCTGGCGGCATTAAAAAAGTCGCAACGCAATGTGTCAGAGAGACTCCCTTGTGATCACCAAACATGGTTTGGCCCCCCGCGGGGAAGGTTGCTATGTAACCAAATGCAGCAGCCTGTGGACTCGGGCGCTCAGGTTCAGGCGAAAGACTCGCTGTAAGATTTGTATGCGGTATTAAAGCGGTACAGCATGCTCAGAATGTTGACCAAACACCCACCATGCACTGTTTTTCTTAACCACTTCCCGTTTAAAATACAGGTCAGGCTCCCTAGCAGCGGTCCCAGTTTATGGACCATAACACTCGAAGACTTGGAGCGTTAATACTCCCTCGCCCTCTTCAACTGGTGGCGTAGCGGCGAACACACAAACACAAATCTAAGAAACGAAAGTCCCGATCAAAATATGTGACATACCTTGGTTGAGCACGTTGCCTGTGACGCTTAGCGAGGTAATGCCAGTGATGTGCGCGTCCCCACAATGTTGGTATGGGCGTGACCGTGCTGACATCCCAGCCCTCGGCGCCACACACGGCAGGTCTCCGCCAGCCCGCACTGGACACCGACGCGTGACCTGACGCCTCTGACGTAGGACTCCGGCCTCACGTCTGCGCGGGACACTAATACGTGACCTGACACCTCTGACGTAGGACTCCGGCCTCACGTTTGCGCGGGACACTAATACGTGACCTGACACCTCTGACGTTTGTCCCCGGTCCCACGCCCGCGCAGGACACCGACGTGCGGCCTGACGCCTCTGACGTATGTCCCTCTCCCCCAGTCTCGCGCGGGATGCTGGCGCGTGACCTGACGCCTCTGACGTATGTACCCAGTCCCACGTCCGTGCGGGACACTGGCACGTGACATGACGCCTCTGGCGCAAGCCCCCGGTCTCACGCCCAGCCGTGCTGGGGTGGCGAAACGGCGAGCGGCCGAGGCGGGCCCCCCGCCCGACGGCTGGGTGCTGTTGGTGAGTGGGGGTATGCTTTGTCAAGAGTGGGTAGGCTCTACCATGGAGTGACGAAACATGATAGCAACCCGACTGGCAATGTAACTGTTTGGTGAAAAACCATTCGCGAGCCTAAAACCACTGTGAAGGCTATATCACACAGGCGGAGGTATCGGATAGGTCTGTGCCACTTGATAGCCCAAATCGCCAATTGCCATGGCTCACAAATGTAACTGACCTCAGTTAATGTGAATTTGGTCAGGACGGAGGGAGAGAGGGGAGGGGAAAACTGGTTACCATTCGCTGGATGTGCCGGATGTGTTGCCGGTAAGCTTACCAGCTGTTTTTGCCCAGCGGTCGGCCGCTGCAGCGGGTTGTTCCGACGATGGTAACTTCGGTCGCCAAGGGCCTGGTAAAACTTATTTAATCGATACCACATATACCACGATGGCACGGACCCGCGGCTCCAAAGGACCAATAAGTCCCCCAAATAAAATTTTCCAAAGGGTATGGGTCGTGTTTAACGTGCGTGTGTGAGCAAAAAATGGACAATTTTGACCTTCACTGACCTTCGGCTTACGACGCTCATGCTCTCACGCTCCATGCCTGAAGGTCTCCGGTAAATCACCGCCGCATGGCGTACGTCTTGCAATTAAAGGCCGGACAGATGTGTTTTGAGTGTGTCCAAATTTTATCTCGGACATGTGAACAATTGGCATTCTTCTTAACGTGGGTCCGACAGCCGAATTCCTCGTATGCGGTCTTTTTTATTTCACGCGTAATTGCACCAGTTAATGGCATTGAACTGATCAGAATGAAGTCCAACTAGAATTGTCACAAGCATGAAAAGGCTTCATTGGTGGATGCCGTGTTCTTAATCTTTGCACCCATCTAAGTCAATTAGGTCTCAACTGACGGACGTTTTAACCTGCTGACATTCAGCACGCAGGAGAGCCCTCAATATCGGTCATCTGCTGTTCGTGTTATTTTCAAAGCCTCACCACAGGCATACCCTGAGGCGCGGGCTGTTGGAGGAGTGACGCTCCCCCTGGGAGATTTTGCAGCTTACTGGTGGAAGGGACTGAGCTGCCACTGGCCGGTATTTCTCCCAGCTGATCCGCTGAAATAGACCCTGCTAGTCAGCGCTTGTGAGGTTGAGCTGCGCTTGAGGTTGAGCCTCAGAATCATCCGCGTCACCGAAAGCGCTAGTGACGCTCGTAAATGCGCGCCCTTGACGTGGGCTGGTGTCGTCACTGGCCCAGATGACGCTCTATTCATGTTACCGTGGTCAATGACGCCATATCGTCGGCGCCTCGGGTAGCTAAAGCCCCTTTCCCGTGACGCACCAGTGCTGCCGCTCCTGTCTCATAAATGAGCTGGGTGGTGCAGTACGCGAGAACTTTGGAGCTTTTGGTGAATACGCGTAGACGGACTCATCTCCATATCACGTGTGAATGTCCTGAAATTCTTCTCCTGATTCATCCCAATTTAGTTTCTGAATTCCTGTGATTCTTCGTGGATATGGTACAAATTTTGGTCTGATTTGTTCGAGGAGTATCCCAGACTACGAAGACAAGGGAAAGTAAACGCAACTTTTGTGCCGAGTTGGTATGCATTGCGAGTGGTCAAGTAAACACTAAGCCACATGCGCGGTAAAGGGAACAGGCCCTCATCCCCCCCCCCCCCAAAAAGAAAACAACTACAAACTGGACCAGTGGATGCCCAGCACAAATACAAGGAAACGAAGATCATTGTCATGTCACCATTCACACGTACGCACCTTCTATGCATTTTTATTAAGTAGATTGGGACTGAAGTGGACTAAACCCGACCATAATAGACTTTACTATAGTCCTTTCTGCAACAGAGGTCTGTGGATCAGCATGTTCATGTCTAATTTACGGGTCTGTAATTTATGCTATGTTCTTGTGTATTGGCCAATCGTCACACTAAGTCAATGCGTATAGAAGCAGCCGCTCAAAATTGTTGGTGAACACGTCCACTTTTACCGATGTCGTCGTCGCAGCTGACCACATCCTAACACTTTATCAAGGGAAGCGTGATTGCCGAGTGGTTAGCACCTTCGTCACCCATGTGGGGACCAGGGTTCGAATCTCGGGGGAGCCATGGCCCCTAAACGCTGACATGATTGCTGAAGCCACTGACGCACCATAAAAGGAAGCCAACGAAACGCATCGTGTTCCCTGCTGAAAGGGAAAGCCAGTCGCTATTTCAAGGAAATGCGACGCACGTCGTTGTGATCCCTTTATTCGAGCGTCAGGAGTGCAGGGATCACATTAGCGTTCAGCAGTTATGGCCCTACCGGGATTCGAACCCAGGCTTCCCATGGGGGGGGGGGGGGGGGCGAAGGTGCTTAGCACTCAGAAATAATACTTTTACGCCTTACTTTGTACCCACTATACAGCAATACCCACAGTTTGGCCAGCAATCATAACAACGCATTGAAAGTAGAAGCGGCCCAAGCAGACTGCTGGCATAACATGTCCAGTTTTAACTACGCCGTCATCGCAGCTCTTAATGCATACGGACACATAACTTCACATTATAACACTTTACATTATGACACATGCCATAACACCCACTACACACGGCGCACTTTGGATCCGCAATGTCCGACTGCCGCATCCCCGTTTCGAAACGACCATCATTGCCACTTTTTATCGCATACCCGCGAGATGGTGAACATCGTGAATGGTGCCTGCTGGAAAGACGTGAATGCGTACATGTATATGTACTTCTGAGCTTCAGTGATCTGTGCGGATGTGTGGGTGGAAAGACATGTGTGCATGTTTGGGTTGTCTAGCCGACCGTCGCAATGTAGCACCTCCCAACTGCCAAACTGCAGCAGTTGGACAGCGTCACATTTTAGCACTCTCCGACCACCACACTGCGGTAGGAGCCCATCGTCACACTTTGACGGCGCCTGATTGCGACACTGTGACAGAAGCCAACCAGGGGCGTATTTTACTATTAATGTTGGAAAGTTCGAGTCTTTAACTTTGAAAGGGTGTTAAATGTATTTCGCGGTACACTTAAACCAATGTTCCGTTAGCCTCCCCCCCCCCACCCGCCCGATGGGTTTTGCAACGCTGCGCCCCTGGGGGTGATCGTCCCGCCGCAGTCCCGTGTCACGCGTGATTGTGGTAGTCACGCAGCACGCGGCTGTGGTGACAGCGGGCCAGGCCAGGACGCTCGCCAGCAGGCCCACCAGATGGTCCCCGCTCTTCTGCTTTCCTGAAAGCCGGCTCCTGCCGTGCGACTGGTTACCGTATTGGGCAATGCAGACAAGCCGGCGCGAGTAGGAAACCTGCCACCGTTCGGATGAAAGGCTCTGAATGGAGCGTTGGCAAGGACGCACCATTGCCCGCGCTGAGGCGCGATTAAAGAAGCTGAACACTGTATGTACGCCGTGAACGAAGCTGCTGCATGCGCCTTCAACAGAGTCATTGTGTCCCCATCCCCGCGGCCATCATCCATGATTGCAGGCGTGCTCGCTAACTGGCTTCATATTTTTGCAGCTGTGAGAAGGGGGCCGCTACGTGAAGTGGGGGAAATAAGCGGACGCAGAATATTTCGACAGGGTAAACTCGCATCAGCGACTGCGGCATTGAATGCCTCTTGGTCAACTTGATATTTGCAAACAAATAGAAATGGCGCCGATAGTCTCTTGTGTCAGCTAGACAGATACATGAGCTCATTTCGCCAATGTCCACTTGTTAACCGGGTTGCAGGGGGTTTCCTTCCTGACATGGGATGCGGGCCTTGCGCATTAAGATCAGCTACAGATAAGACATAGAAATATTAAGGATATGCCACTGCTCATGGATGATCCGGGCAGTACACACTATATGTCGAAAATATCAGTACTTACTGAGGAGAGCCATTCGATCACATCAATCCGCTCGCAAATGCATGCACATGCCACGTACCCAGCTGGCTAATGTTATGCAGTATGTCATTGTCATACAATGGTAAAGCCCTCCTATTTTTACACGTGTGATGCTATGTGGGCATCTTAGAAATGAGCAGCGTTGCGTCAGCTGATTCTGCAGAGACTACGTGGCCGAATCACCACACACGCGCGCACACACGCACGCACACATGTACGCACGCGCGCACACATGTACGCACGCGTGCACATCACCGAATCGGTGTTCGGTAACGGGATTAACAATAACGGTGTTAAATGGTGTTTGTTTCTCTTTCTGCAAGTGGAAATGCACGGCCTGCATATCAATGCCAAGTCACCAGAATAGTGCAGTTTTATAACCCATAAGTTTTTCGGGTGGTGTGGTGATAAATGGTGAATGTTTTCCTTCAAGAACCGTGGATACGTTTGCATACTTACCATCAGCCGGGCAGTAAAGCACCACTGTGCCGCCACCACGGCCGCCGGTCCACCAACTACACCTTCATGGCAGGTGCGAGTGCTGCTCGCCGCTGGCCGGGATCAGACGTGCTTTGCGGCTGACGTATCAGACGTGCTCCGAGACCGTAGTGCGTGCTTCCGAGATCGTAGGGCGTGCCTCGAGACCGCCCGGGTATGCTCCAAGACCGCTGGATGTGCTCCGAGACCTCTAGGTGTGCTCCGAGACCGCTGAGTGTGCTCGGAGACTGCTTGGTGTGCTTCGAGACTGTTGGATGTGATCCGAGACCGACGGGCGTTCTCCAAGGTCGGCGAGCGTTCTCCGAGACCAGTAAGTGTGGTCCACGACCGGCGGGCGTTCTCTGTCGCTACTCCGCGCCGTTCACGTGCAGCCCGCCGCCGCCTCCGTGGCACACTGCGTCCGCCGCGGCGCGCCGACCAAGTAAAAGTGACACGGTCTTCTGGAGGTCACCCTGCGCCTCGGTCCACCCCGGCCCCGCCAGCCATGGCGATAACGCAAGCGTACCATGTTTTTAAGCAGAAGTTGTCCCCGGGCTATGGAGCTAGATGCGGCGTTGGTAACAGGTGTGAATGCAAGGGAAAGTTCGCGCGTGTTTAGGAATGTTGGGTGTGGATCTACGTTGTGTTGCATTCAGACATCTCCACGGCTGCCTTCCGGGGAAAAGATGTTTGGAAGTTTTTCAGTAATTTCTGCTTTCCCTGAATCAGTGTTTTATCAAGGCATTTACTACTGCATGAGAACCAGCTTGTTACTATAAGAATGGCGCAAAATAGGTCAGGCGCCACGATTCCAACCATTGCATACCGACGAGTGAGGCAAGTTGTGTCGGGCAGGGGCTGCGGCTAGTGAAATGGCTACTTAACATATCTGGTTGGAGTGGCTACTTTGCAAGATTCCTCAGATAAATGCAAGTGAGGCGTTGTCAGGCTAGCGCTGACTGGCGCATGTTGGCGACGTGTTTCCGTTGTTTGACGCAACAAGCTAACAAAGAAAGGCAGATCCAGCTCGACAAAACAGTTAATGCTGTCCATGCTGCCATTGATGTGGTACCCTTAACACGGTTCAATTCCCCCCCCCCCCCCCCTCCCCCAGAAGATTCTTCCGGAATGGTTTCCGAACGGCGCTGCGCGGGCCTAATCACTAACCGCTGTCAGCTGGAGTTAGCGTGGTGTCGCACCACACACCAATCGCTGACCACCGTCAGCTGGAGTTAGCGTGGTGCCGCACCATACACTAACCGCTGACCACTGTCAGCTGCGGAGTTAGCGTGGTTCCGCACCCTACCACTAACCGCTGACCACTGTCAAGCTGGAGCTAGCGTGGTGCCGCACCATACACGTACCATCTGACCGCTGCCAGCTGGAGTTAGCGTGGTTGCCGCGCCGTCGGAATGGACGTTTTTGCTCCATTGGCTTGACTCGACCCCGGTGCCCTCTCCATTCCAGACGCGGAATGATAGGAGGCGGAGGGTGGGCGCTGGATCTGTCAGTTGCCCGCTCCAGCAGAGGCCCGCCCTTCCTCTCCCCCGCTCTGTTTCTCTGAGGCGGCAGCTGCCAGCCGTGGGGACCCTGCAAGTATGGAAGATGGTTAGGATAACTAAGGTCGATCAACGAAATACGCTTCACGCAAAGGAGTTGTGACGAAGATAATGTCGCCTGCTGATGTTGAAGGCCGTAAGCGTACTTTATGTGTGCGGGCTAGCAACTGTCTAAGGGGGGGGAAAAGCTTTGTTGAAGTGAGCTTTGAAACGTGGATTGCTTTCACTCGAAAACGCCCGGAATGTTGAAGCCCTCGGTTTTGAAGCCCTATCCCTGGAAGAACGTTTGTCAAGCTGAATCCTCCGTTGTCGTAGGCCATTGCTCAATAAAGAAGTTTAAGTCCCAGTCCTAAAAACTTTCTCGCCTGTTTTAGGGTCAGCTCGGCACAAGCGCATTGTTCGGCGGTCGCAGTGTTCAATGACACCGGTCCACGTCCACCAGGCTGCCGCACGTGTCGGACGGACACCCTCACTCGCTGGCCTCCCCTCTTACCGTCCCAGCCACCCGGTCTTCCTGCCAGCAGCCGGCCACACCACACACCTCGACTAATTGAGAACTTACTGGCACGTTTGACGCTTCCCTTCAAAGCTCATTAGGATTTTGATTAGAGGAGCTTCAAAATGTCAGCCCGCGTCCGGCCCGCGTCCAGCCCCGCCCCTGCCCTAGCCCGCGAAAGTCCACCGTGCTACCATGCCAACCCGGCATCAACCTGTAGGTATAACTTGAGAGCAATCTGGATGTGGTGACTGTTAATGGTTTTAGACCTATGCATGAAATGTGTATGAACTATGACATGTGAGTGTCGCCTAATGCATTACATTATTTGCTTGTCTGTGGTAGGGCTGAAACAGCAGTGACAAAAGCACCTGAAACTATGGCGTTTTCTGTAGTTCCGCATTCCATCTTGTTCCGCACTGTGACGCCAATTTCGGACTACAAATAAGAATGGAAGAGAATGGAATTTTAAGTGGACTCCTCGCCAAAAATGCATCAGAAATTTCACACCATGCTCCTCATCGCAGAAACCATACGTTAGGTCCTTTAAAGCTGCCTGCGTCAACTGACAGCTTTGTAGAGCAAAGAAATGCAGGATGACTCAGGTCGTGAGAGGTCTCCGCACTTCACTACATTGTAGGCAAGTACAAATAACACACAGATTTAGTCAAGTTGAGGAATTTGCAATACGGCTGCTAGTATGATATATTTTCAATTTGTTTACCTCACAGCAGCCGAGTGCGTCCAATACCCGCGATGTCATAGGCCCGAATTCACGAAACGTAGGCTATCACGCGACGTTTTGTTTTCTCAAGTAGATACAGCACACAACTGCACAGAATAAAACTGCACGGCAGCTGGGAAATGATTCATCTTTCACACATGCCACTATCCATGTTACATTTTAGAACGACTGTCGCCGCGCTATTCGTGGAACTACTCACAGGGATGTTAACAACATCTGTCCAGGGATGCCGTTTGTTGCCACTCAGGTGACTCCGTGCACTCTTAGCAATGCCACGAAAAACGTGCGATGTTGTCAAATGCCAAAGTGACATTACTATAGAAACAAAAAGTGCAGAGCATGTCTTAAGTCGTCGTTCAGCCATCCTGTTGACTAAAACTTTCGGAACTGGAACGAAGATGTTATTGACGTCATAGTCCGTGGAATGGAATTATTTATGCATACCAGTACACAGATAACGGAAGAGATGTCGGAAGCATACAGAACAAAACTATTTATGAGACATATAGGTTGCAAGTTAATGACGATGCCGCAGTAAGAGTGAAACGTGTTGTGCGTAAGGTCCTGTTATGGTGGTCGTAAATTGCATATTCTTGTATGCATGAAAATGCACCAAATGTACACAAGCTGTAAATTACCCCTACACAGATTTCGGTATTTGTTTGTCCATGTCATACATCAGTAATTGCGAGTTATACTGGTCAGTAAACGAGGCTAAGGCCACGATGGTAAACTAGCAGTTTCCCTGTCATTTCGTGAATCACGTAATGTTTAGTCTAAGGTATGAAAGTGGTGTGAAACAGATAGATTAAGTGCACCTCATCTTCACAACCACAGCGGAGTGCAGTTTTTAGCTATTTTTATATAAACGACCCACTTGATTTCAACTAGATGTACCTAGGCGATGCTTTGGAAATGTAGGTAGTTATTTTGGATTCTTTTGGTGACATGTTTGGATAAAACTTGTTCAAGTTGTGCAACCCCCCTGGTTTGCTGGTGGTGTTATGTCTGGCCATCCGCTTCTCTGTCACTTCGACCATTGTCAGACTAAATGAGCAAAATATTATTTTGTTAATTGTGTCAAGCGTGGCATTGCGCTCTTACTTTTTAAAGTTTATTAAGCCTACTTCTAACAACAAGGCGTGCCATGTCCCCTTGTGAAAATGTTTTGTTCGCAAAAGCCTCCAAGTCTGGCTGGCAGCCGGGGCTCCAGACAGCGGGCTCTTGCCGGGACAGATGGGCGGGTTAGCTGGCCGAACAGGGTGCGCTTAGCTATGACGTGCAGCAGGTTCGAATTAAGTAGCTGAGATTCATTACTCATATATTGATTGATGTATGACGTTCATGACATGTTGAAAGTGCCGGAATTAACACCATCAAAACTACACACCGCTTATTCGAAGCATACTGGTGACCGCTTACGTGGAGAACACCGTGTTCTTTTTCCGCGGACATGTGGCCTCCGTTTATTCTGCTTCCATTCCCATCTTGCTGATACTTGAGAGAAAAGGACCGTGACAGATTCAAACATACAGTCATTTGAAATGTCGAAATGCCTGTCGTTCGTGTACACGTCAGTGACACTAGCACCGAACGGCTGGCGCCTGAAGAGCCATCCATCTCGGGCCGTCCACAAAGCTGGGGCTTTCTACTATCACATTGTTAGTACCAGCTCGATGACGGTGGGTATGCCCTGAATCATTTCCTTATACAAATATACTTTATAAAACAGGTCCGTACTGGGCCAGCAAAGGGTCTGCTCTTGTTCGTCCCTCGTGGCCTAACCCATCAGCGGATATTCACCGTTATGATACGGTTGGGTCTGCTGGTCGTCCATCTCGGCATGCTATTGCAAAATCGCGCCTCGACAATTCCGTACCAATTTTTTTCGTTTGTTTACGCTATGCGCTAACGAGTGGTTCACTATTATTAATGTGGAAATGTGTAAGAGGTCTAAGCGATGGAGACGTTCATCGAAGCGACAGAACGCTTAAGATTTACATGGAATGGGCTGACATCATTGATGTGACTCAGAAAGGTCACTCTGGCTTTCTGGCTCCATTCAAGTCACTCAGTGTAGAGACTGCGCGGGAGGGGTAAACCCACGGATACTCATTTGGAATCAGCAGGGTTGGGTCAGGGTGCATATCTTGGGAAATGACGGACATGGGTATGGGTGTGGGTATAACATTTAAAGGGAGTGTCCACCCTTGGGGTATATTTCAAAAATGCTTTGGTGATACTTCAGGATCACTCATGTTTGATAACAGCACCAGGTAGTGTCATTGCGGCAACGTCAAGACAATAATGACGTCAACTTTAAAATCATT